AGATAAAAGTAGTAGTAATAGTAATAGTAATAGTAATAGTAATAGTAATAGTAAAAGTAATAGTATAAGAAGGTATAAAGTTATAACTAGGTTAAAGTTTAAATAAAAACTTATAAACTATTTAATTACGTATATATAAATAGAATAATAAGATTATATATTAATTTCTATTTTCTAAAAATCCCTCTTTATAACTAAGATAATACTAAACTAATAATACAATTCTATTAGTATAGCCTAGCCCTAGAGGACGGGGATTAATATATTATAATACTATTATATTTTAGTTATACACGCGTTTTAATTACTTAGTAGCTCTTATTATATTAGCTAGAGTTAAACCTAGTTATAGGTTATTAGCCCTTTCTTTCTATTACTATTACTATTACTATTACTATTACTATTACTATTACTATTATTACTATTACTATTACTATTACTTTAATAGTTATTAGTATTTATACTACTAACAGTAAATATAAGTTCTATACCTACTTTAATACTTCTACTAATCTTATTTTCTAATTATAATACTAAAAATTAATAAAAGCTTTTTTAAAGTAGCTCTTATTTAGAGTTAGAGTAGTATTATTATACTACTTAATAGTAAACTAGTTAAGTTAAGAAAGCTAAGTATTAAAAAAAGCCCTATTAGCTTTATAAACTTATATAAAAAGAAGCTAAGCTTTAACTCTATTAAGCTTTACCTAAGTCTTTTATTAACCTTAAGGTACTACTAAATAATAAGATCTTTTATATAAAATCTGTTATTATTATACTTAGTAATACTATTTATTTTCTTTTACTATTAAGTTAGGTCTTTAAAGACTTTACTATAGATAATTACAGTACTTTAATAGTATTAAAGATTATATATAGTAATTTATACCTTATTTAAGTTTTATAAGATAAAGAACTTAAATATTTAGAGTTAAGTAATAGTGTTATATTATAGGTATATAATCTTAGTTATAGTAAAATAAAATTTCGTAGATAAAATAGAAAATAAGTAAAAAAGCCTTAAAGTATAAAAGATCTTTATATAATAGCTTACTTATATATACTATTATTACCTTAACCCTTTTTAAAGCTATCTTTTATATATTTAGAATTACTAGATAATTAAAAAGTTTTATAACTTAGTTATAGTTTAAAATATAAACTAAAGTTTATAACTAAAATAAACTTTAACTAATAGCTCCTAAGGCTCTTAAATATATATTTATATTAGTATATAAAGTAGAATATTACTAAAAAATAGTTAATTTACTTTTAATTACTATTATTATATACTTTTACTAATATCTACTAAATATAAAGGGCTAAGTATTAGCTTCTATACTAAGTTACTATACTATAATCTTACTATATTAAGTCTGTCTACCTATATAATAAGTATAAATATACTATAACTCTAAAATAATTAGTATAGCCTAGAAGTTCTAATCCTATATCTTCTAATAACCTAATAATCTAAGAGTTAGTGTAAGTAATTACTAGTACTAGTATAGTACTTTAGAAACCTCTAGTAAGATCTCTAAGAACCTAGTTAGGTAAAAAGAGGAAAATAGAAGAAATTACTTAGTATAATAGTACTATTATTTTAGGTTTATAGCGTATTTATACTTATAGTATAGGTAGATAGATACAATACAGTAAGAATTTAATATAGTAACTTAGTATAAAAGCTAATACTTAGCCCCTTTTTATATAGTAAATATTAGTAAAAGTATATAGTAAAGGTAATAGAAAGCTAATTAGCTATCTCTTAATAACTAGCTACTTAATATACTAATATAGATACATATTTAAGAGCCTAGGCAGCTATTCGTTAAAGTTTAGTTTAGTTAAAAACCTTAGATTATATTATAAACTATAGCTAGGTTATATAAACTTTTTAATTAACTAATAATTCTAAATATATAACTAAGGTAGCTTTAGTAAAGGTATAAGTAATAATAGTTTATATAAATAAGCTAGTATATAAATATTCTTTATACCTTAAAAGTCTTTATTTATCTATCTTATCTTTCTTTATAAATATAATTATAGCTACTAATAATATAACCCTATTAGTATAGCCTAGGTATTTCTACGCTATGTTTTATAGTAAGCTAATAAGCAAAGAATTAAAGTAAGTAATTCTTAATACTTGTATAATACTTTAGATATCTCTAGAAAGATCTCTAAAGACCTAGTTAAGTAGTAAAAAGAAATAAAAAGTATTACTTAGTATAATAGTAATACTTTCTATTTAAAAGATAAAAATATCTTACAGTACCTTAAGCTTAATAAAAGACTTAAGGTATAGCTTTATAAGGTTAGAGTTTAGCTCCTCTTTATATAAGTTTATAAAACTAATAAGGCTTTTTTTAATATCTAGCTCTTTTAACTTAATAAGCTTACTACTAAGTAGCGTAAAATTACTACTCTAACTAAGGATAAAAGCTACTTTAAGTAAGCTTTTCTAGATCTTAGGTATACTACCTAGAAAAAAAGAATTATAGTAGTAATGTAGGAGGTGTAATACCTTACTATAGAGATAATTAATATAGAATAAGGATAAAGCTAGCTAATTTTAAAGTAGCAGTAATAGTAATAGTAATAGTAATAGTAATAGTAATAGTAATAGTAATAGTAATAGTAATAGTACTAGTAATAGGAAGCAGAGAACTAATAATATAGAAAGTTTATAACTAGGTTAAAAATAAAGACTAATAAATAATTAAAACGCGTGTATAAAAATATAATAGTAACGTAACATATTAATCTCTGTCCTCTAGGGATAATAGTACTATATTCTACTTATCTAATCTAGATATTAAGTAGTATCTTAAACTTAATTAAACGCTTAGAGTAAAGCTCTATAAGTAGCTAAAAGTTATATAAAAGAAAAAGAGTTATAACTTTCTACTCTTACTTAGAAAATTACTTTATAACTAAGTAAAAAACATTTATTACTTTATTAATTACTACTATAGGAATAATATTATTAATAGTTTTTACAATTAGTTATAGATTACTTAGAAATAGTATAGAATAAATAAGTATTGTACTATTCTTCTTAATAATTAATTATATAATAAAAGAATGTTATAAACTTTAGGATACCTCTATAAGTACTTTTAAATTAAGCGTTATTATACCTATAGAGGTATTAATATTATATTATACGCCGGTAGGGTAGATTAAAAGCTCCTATTTTTATACTAGAATTACCTTAACTACTAGTTCTTACTCTACAGAATAGTAATTAATGTGTTACGTTACTATTATATTTTTGTATATTAGATATAATTAAATATTAGTCCTTATTATATGTATATACTAATATAAAAAGTAGCTTATTATTAAGGAACAGAGTACTAATTAGCTTTCTACTACTATTACTAGATATTTTACCTAACAGTTACTATATTAAATAGAACTAAGTTATAGCTTCTTTATTAAGTTACTATATTAGAATCTTACTATATTATATCTATTTACTTATACTAGTAATTTTAATACAATATTAACTTAAAATAATAACTTTTATATATATTAATACCTATAGCTAAAAAAGTACTTATAGTACTACTTACTAAAATTCTGTTAAGTTATAGTAGTAAATCTTTAATAATATATAGAGCTAGTAAACGTACTATTATAGTAGGAAATATACTACTTTTTATATTAAAAGCTATAATTACTTTACTTCTTTTTAGAAGTTTAATTAGAAGTAGAAAACAAAGTAGTAGGCTACTTAGTAGTATAAGTAATATATAAGAAATTATTAAAAGTAATAATATATACTAAAGTAAAATTAGTCTTATTATTATATTAATAATATCAAATCTAGGTATATTTTTAATAAAATATTACTTTTATAGCTTTACCTTTTTTTTTCTTAAGTAGTAGAATTTATAGTAGAAAGTATAATAATATATCTATAGTTTTACTTTCTAAAAGTAAAAATAAGAAACTAGAACCTTTTATTAGTTCTTTTAATTTAATTTTTAAAAGTACTAGCCTAGATAGTTAGAGTATAAATTTAACTTTAAATAAGTAAAGAGCTTTAAAATAAATAAAAGAAAAAGTATATATACTTTAGAAACTATAATTCTATAAAAGTATAAGTTATTAATAGTTATTTAAGGTACGTATAAGGGTTTTTAAAGTTTTAAAAATACTAAATATTCTAAGTACTAAGTATATTAGCTATAAAACTGTTTAGGTAATATATATAACCTATATACTACTAAGAATATATATTATATTAGTGTATTACTTCTAATTACTTACTAAGAAACTCTAAAGCCTAAAGTAACTATCTTACTACTTTCTATATAGTAAATATAGTTACTATTTAAATTATTCTTTATAGAGTAGTAATCTATCTAATTAAATACCTTATTCTAGTATTACTATCTATATCCTATTAAATAAATAGTAAAAATAATAGTAATAAATAGTAAAGAGCTAATTACTTATAACAAGGTTAAGCTTAAGCTACTATAGTTAGTTTATAAAATAAAGGCTAATATATAATTTTAACACGTTTCCTAAAAAATAATAGTTATATAATATATTAACTTTTATTTTTTAGAGTAGATTTTAGATATAAGTATAGCTTACTAGCCTTTTATCTTGTTATATATAAGATTATAAAAATTTTAATACTTTATATATAAATAATAAAGAAGCTAAAATCTAAAAGTTTATCTACTTATTGCTTATACTAGCTTAATCTAGCTATAAACTAAACTCTTTTTACATAAACCTAGCTTTAAAGAATATTTACCTTTACTAAATAATATAGTTCTTGCTATCTATATTTTTCTATAATTAAAAACTTTGATATTTCTCTTTTATCTAATTTACCCTTATTCTACTCTTTTTCTAGCTTTATACTTTAGTCTCTCTACAAGAGATTATAGAATAGCACTTGCTTGCTCTTACATTGTTATCTACCTTTTATTGTTGCACTACTTGTTTTCACCTACTAACATGGTCCGCCAGTCGTGAATCTTCTTCGATTAGGCTGTGTGTTCTCAAGCCTTGCATCCCGATAATTAACAGCCTTCTCGTCGAACTTCATATGCCAGTTTGTCTACATCTGCATCTGCACCTCATCCGTAGAGTGTAGAAAGTAGTCAACCCTGAAATCACCATCGTCCTCCTTTTGTACGCGACACACTAAAACAGTATCTTCTTCTTTGGAGAACTCATTCAAAGCTGTAAAGTAATCTCTGTTCACGCTCTCTGCGTAGACGTTCTCCTGTACAGGCATTTCTTGTAGCCACATCGCGCAGTCTTCGACTGTCTTGCCCACCCATGGAGATAAGAAATCCGTTGGAAGTGGGGGTTCAGTCGCTTGTGGACGTGGGTAGGGAGGTCTGTTCGGTGGGGGCAAGTCGGCGTAGGAATCTGTCGCAACCCATAGATTCCAATCAACAGCTGACCTTTACATCACATTTATTCTGGCCCAGTATACTTTTTTCGCATTGCTGACTATTACGCCTGGAATCAGTTAGGTAATCGTCATCGCAGAACCTATCCAATATTGACTCATATATGGACACGCAAGCGCCAGATCTACTCGAGTCAACTGACGTGCATGAGTTTATGATAGATTATCAACCCTCAATTCATAAGACCCTATTGTATAGGTATCAATTTTCATGACACTAGATATGCATTTTGCTTCTCTCCAGGAACAGTGGAACCACAGCAGTTTACACAAGGTAGCTTCTAGCAGGTAAAACATAAAGTTTTACACTCTGCTTGTAAGCTATGTACTGTAATCAATCAGTCCCACGCATAGTGCCTGCCAATGAGAACATGATCCAAACAACTGTGAGAGCCCCAAGCTTAGGAGGACAAAACCTGAGTTTGTTTAGCTGGGCGGGATCAGAGACGGTACGTATACGTACTCTTCGGAACTGAGAGCGATAAATCCAAACCAAAATAGCCACTGGGCGATCCAAAGAAGGAGCATACTTGTAACGGTGACAGCATACAGCTTTGCCAATGCTCTGTTGTAACTGCAGTTCTTTTTGTCCTTGATAGATACAGTGCCATACACTGTGTAGTTTCTCCGATCGTTATTTATCAGTGACGTCCGTTCCGCTGCGGTGCTCGTGCCGATCCAGTAACGTGCCACATTTTCGGCTAGCCATAAACAACGCTCATTTAACATGATCATCAACTCCGCCCAGATGTTCGGTGTTATCTGATGGCTTAATTGCCACTTTGGCAATCCGAGGCCATCAGGCCCAATTGACATAATGATTCTGCGTACAGCTAGCATCAACTGCACGATCGTGATGATCATGATGATAAGCCACAAGAGTGCTCCACCGTACATGAACTTTGCAGGCGTTGCTTGTTCCAACCTTGCCATACCTGCAAAATAGAAGTTGTGCTCTCGGCCATAATTAACGGTGATAACCATGGAATATGTCGATAAAAGCTGAAGTATAGCTTCAGCAAACACCGAAGACGCAGCTGCGGATATATTTACCGCTTCGAAGGGTTGTTTACCAATCAGCAGAATTGGCAGCCAAGAAAGGCGAGGCAGTGAGCACCAAAGGAGCATTAATTGAAGAATGGGAATGTCCTCATAACCCAAGGTGTTTTGCACAAGAGCCACGTTAAACCAGTTTCCGAGGAGCTGGAGAGTAGCGATTGAGATTCCTGAGGAAACCCAATTCCACGAGTGCGGGGGCCAGAGAAAGCTGCGAGCAATACGACGCATGTCTGTTCTCCTACTGAGAAATACGCTAAGGAATATAGCTGCATTGACCAGAACAAGGCTTCCAAGCTTCCCTTCGTTCGAGGCACATGTTTCTGGTGGCCCGCCAGGTTCCAGATAAGTGATAGAGGCAAGTGTTGTATTGCTCGCTGGTTTAATGGTCCATCGCCATGGAATCATGTCAAGCGAACTAGGGGCGGCCAACCGACGCCAATGCGTTGGTAAACCGTGCCAGTCTGGCACATTACCACAAAGATCATGGAGCCACTTCACGTAGTCTATACGAGCCTCGAAAATTTGACACGAACCTCCACAAGTACCGTAGCTGATGTCGCGGCAGAAGCAGGCCCTGTCCACTGCACGCTTGACTTTGCAGTAGCCGTCAGAGTCGAGTTCGCAAGCATCGGTCGCACATCGGCCGGTAAGCTCGATCACCTTTTCCGGGATATCAATGACACAAGCGGGCCAGTGCCAGCCTTCGATGGGGATATACGCGAATTCTGTGGTTTTGAGCATGCTCGTCCAGTTTTCGGGCATAGACGTTGGCCCACAAGTGGCGTTCATCCATAGTCGCTCCCTCGTCAGGTCTATGTGTTCAGGGTCCGAACAGGGTTCAGTTGTCATATCCATGGTGAAAGCACCACAGAAGCAGCCTTTGTCAAAATATTCGCCATATCTGATACTACGTCCAGCAAGATTGTACCCGACTGTTTCAAAATCCAGAGGGATCATGGAGTGTTTGGATTCACTATACTCCCAAGGACGAGCAGCATTTCCGGTATGTTGTGGGGTGCTTCCAAAGCTACAGGAGGCTATTACGTGCTGGAATGATTCCACAGAAAGGGCAGACATGGAGTTCTTTAGGCATGTTGGCGCATTGGGAATTACGTCAACCGCAGCATACCCTTCGGCTAGGGAGGCTGGGGAGAGATTTTGCAGCCGATTCGCGTCGCCAACATCAGCAAGCCACGTTCGACCGGTTATGTTACGGATCCACAGGTACAATTGAGCCTCGGCGAGTACTGATCTGCTGCAGAGTGGAAGATAACCTCTAACGATATCAGGTGAAAACCCCGTACTGAGGCAACTGAGTTGCGTCAGCCATTGTTGGTGAGTGCAGATGAGTCCAAAGTGCGAGGTGCACCGTCTGCCGGTACATTTCGTCATGGTACTCAGCCAGATGGATTGATCCTGCTGAGCGATGCATTGCGGCATAGCAGTCAAGTCTTCAGGGTTGACCCAGCCGTTGTAATGATTTTGAGGCGTCAAGATACGGCCGGTATCACCAAAGTCAATACCAGCGTCAGGAGACGCTTCTACATTACTGAAGTTGGCGTCAAATATGACGAGGTCTTTGGAAGGGACGTACCTTTCACAGCTCTCCCATATGTTACAGCTGTCAACAGCACAAGACACGTACTAACTATTTTCATCTTGGCGCCTTGTAGCGTGAAGTAGTATAGAACGAATATCTCCAGGGCTTCTCGAGTCTAGTCAAGACCTAGGTCATGCCTCTCAGGTGCGGGGTCGCGAACAATGGCCAAAGCTCAAGGCAGCCTCATGAACGGATTTTCTTTCCTCCGCAGACCGGTCTGCATGTGCAGTGTTATCTAGTCCCTGAATCTCGTACCTATCTGTATCTATCAATCCGTGATAATGGACAAGAAGGTGTGGGAATGGCGCCGCACCATTGATTCACAAGATTTTCTCATCTCAACATGCCGCCAAAGTCTTCCGCACTCATTTATCAACGACGCTTTTGGCAACGCTGCCATGTTTTGGGCGAAACCCATGTCAGAAGAATCTCTGGAGGCCATGCTGAACAACTCCTGTACTCTCGGCCTATACATGCTCTCTAGCAATGGCACAAAGACGCCCATTGGCATGGCACGCATGATAACCGACTACACCACACTCGCCTACCTCACCGATGTCTACGTTCAGCAATCACATCGAAAACTAGGGCTTGGACAATGGCTGATCCACAGCTGCCGGTCCATCGCGCTTGAGATACCTGGCCTGCGCTACATGGTGCTGCTGACGGGCTCGCCGCAAGCGCAGGACTTATACCGTCGTGAGCTTGGGGCAACTGTGTTCAACTCGAAAGAAGAAAACCTGGCAGCGATGGGGGCTCGAAAGACAGGATTGGCCGACGCAGCTAGTGGCTCAGGGAACGGGCCAACGCGTCTAAACGCGTAATGATGGCATGCATGTTGTATCTTTGCGACAGATCGTGGGACAGATCGTGACAGATGGTTGGGTGCGATGGATGACAGGACCTGTCGATGTTTTAGGTTTAGTCAGGCGTGTAGCATACCCTAGCGCGTAGCTCGCCATTCTCAATCATTCACCCACGGGCAACAAGGGTCTTCGCCGTACCAAGATAAAGGCTAAACCAGAACGCATTAAGGCTGCGTACCTCTGGTCAAAATGTGGTTACTACTTATGCGTGTCGCTTGCCCTCATGTTGTCGCCCTCCATCCACACCTCTTGTTGTCGTTATTTGTCTGTTCTATCCAGGTTCCAGAGCACGCGCCTGAGCCGCGTCGTTGACAACTTCGGGATTACGAGTTGATAGTTGGAAAATCGCCTCCGACGCCTTCCGAGAGTGCCCTGGACTCGGAACGAGTCATTACGTCTTATATTCTTTGATATAGTTGTATGCGTTGCAATCATCTCTCGCCCTCTCTACTAGATTTATAATCCCCAAGCAACATGGCTACCATACTCGAAACCACGCCACCATGTGAGCTTCTATCGCCAGTTTCACACAAAAGAAAGCGCGCCGATTCCGAGACGCAGCCGCTGACTCCTCCACTAACCACGACCGATCCTGAGGGGACGCGCCTGTTGTCGCGCGCTGTAGCCGTTCTCTCCACTGCTGCTACCGCCCTGTCTCAGGTCACTATTCTGTACCAATGTGATCCTGTTGCGCGCGACGGACTCCTCCGGGCTGTAGAATGCCTCGCCGGCGTGAACGAGGCGGGCGGAAAGCTGATCGTGTGCGGCGTGGGCAAGAGCGGACTGGTGGGCAGGAAGATGGTCGCGACCATGAAAAGTTTGGGCATCGCAAGCTCTTTCATGCACGCGGCTGAAGCGCTACACGGGGATCTGGGGGATATTAGGAAGGTGAGTTGTTGCTGCGAAGCTGGACATGCGCGGGGTGCTAACGCGGGGCAGAACGACGCCATCATGTTCATCTCCTACTCGGGCAAAACGGCAGAGCTCATGGCCCTTCTGGACCACATACCAAGCCACACCCCCATCCTCGCCGTGACATCGCATACGCACCCCTCCGAGTGCCAGCTGTTGAACGAACGGCCCAGCGCAATATTGCTCCCTGCGCCCATACACGAGCTGGAGGAGACGTCGTTTGGTGTCTGCGCGCCGACAACGAGTACGACCGTCACGATTGCCGTGGGAGATATGCTGGCGCTCACAGTTGCCGAGGCACTGTACGAAGGCGAGACGACGAGCGTATTCAGGAAGAACCACCCTGGAGGAGCAATTGGGGATAAGGCGAAGCGGAAGGTTCAAGATGTAGAGAGCTCGATCAGTTTTAAGAGGCAGAGAGGGATGATTACGCCACCGGCCTTATGACGTCCCTGACTTGATACTTGTCGCCTTTATCATCAACATTCCTGTTAGATATCTCCAGACTCTGTCCCGATAGATGCTATCACGAAATCCCTCAGATATGCAGTCGCAGCATAACTTGTATCACTTATCGACTGCCCGATCAAGCGGCTCTTGATCGTTTTATCGAATACCACCATGTGCTGGTCACATGGTTTTGTAGCAAGGGGACACAAAGAGCTGGCAGCAATTACATGCTGCATGCACAAACGTTGGCTGTGCTGTAGAGGCATCGATGGTATATACGGGACTGATCAGATACGCTCGGAAGTTTTGTCATACGCAGATATACTGCCAGCACCATATTGTTAACCGACTTTTGTATGTTTCCTTCATGTTGTCGTCATTATCAAAGCTTGGTTCTGGGCTCAAAGAGATCTTTGAAGTCAACCTTTCGGTCATTGCGGGGCCGGAAAATGAAGCAGTCTTCTGAAGAATCTACATCGCACATTAGTGAGAACATGCTCAACTGGAGAGCGCTACTGCACATGGCTTTGTACTACAATTATCAATATTGCGAAGAAAGCTGAGTAGGTTTCATCCTACATCCATCCCACAGTCAACCTTTCATCTAGACATTATTCGAGCTCTACGCAGTTTGTTAACTCAGGCAAAGAGAGGGAGATGCAGTAATTGTGGCAATGACGGTTGTCTTCTGCATTGGCTTCAGGCGCTGTTGGAATTGGGCACAAGATGGGTACTGGTGATCAGTTTCTTTGATTCTTCATCAGCACATTTAAGCTTCTTTCTGTGTGAAGTTGGGTAACGAATATTGACTGTCTTGATACAGTGAGTCTGTCAGCAATCCCCTCGCATGTCACTGCTATCTTGAAGGTTATCTCAAGAGATATCGACAAAGAAGATATCCGAAACACCGATGAGCGGGTCCGCCGCTGACCGTATGCAGGGGTCATATTGTGCAATACAAAACATTCTCAGCCAAAACTTCAAGCCCTTGCAAATCAAGTCTAGGCTTCCCATCTCATATTCCTTGCTGTGTTTCTATTGGCAAGTCTGTATCCGAGGAGAGAAGGCGACCCATACTGACGTGCTTGCGATAACAATTGCGTGATTCAATCCCTCCCATCCCCAACATGCACCGAACACCAACTTTGTGAATTTTCAAAAAGATCCCTAAACCACTGAAATTCATGCCAAACTGATCCTTAGATCCCCCCTACACCCCTCAAGCCGTTTCCCACCCTCGCGCCCAACGCTCACGCGTCAGGGGGCGATGGCAGGTATGGTTGACGCGTTGTTGACACCCAACAGGCCCCCTCCTGAACCACATGTCCATTTCACGCGACCTCAGGAGGTGGAAACCCCGCAGCAACGAAACCTACGCGCCTCAAAGCGACAGCAACAGGAAGCCCAAACCAGAGCTCCTGCCCTACGCTCCCTCAACCTCGGTGGAGGCGCAACCAACTCGAACCTTGTCACGAACGCAATCACGCGCTACCTCAACACAATCGAACAAGACACTCTGCTAAGGAACAACGTCACTAAGGCAATGGCAGAGGCTATAGACAGGTGCGCAAGGGAATTCACAGACCCTGCAGGAGCAAAAGTAGCAGCCGAACTGCAACAGCGCGTTGTCCTTGCCCTCACAAACCCCCCGAGTCCCCAGACTGCCAGCTCCCGACGCAGCAGCACTGCCTACACCACTACAACCCAGGAGAGCGAAGGCCACCTATCATCGCGCCGCTCCTGGGCGGACGTAGCCCGAGACCCCCAAGATCTCAACAGAGGAAAAGGGGGAAACAGCACAGACAACCATCCGGCCAAGCCCGGAAAATTTTTCGCCACCCCCGCTAGCTCTAGGCCCATGCCTAAAGCAGATCCCCGCATCTTCGTCACGGTGCCTGCAGCTGAACGCCTCAGCAAAGCCTCGCCCTTTGTAATTCGCCAGGAAATCTGCAAAGTCTTGGAGGGAGTCACGCTCCAAGACATACCCAAAGCTGCCCCAATTCGCACAGGCTGGGCAATCACCCCAGCCACCGACCAGATACGCACTACACTGCTTACACAAGAAAACAAGGAGCTCATCATGCGCGCCCTTCATGGAGATAGTATCCGAACACCAGAGACCTGGATAAACTACGCCATACAGGGAGTTGCCAGCTCCCTGCAAAACATCCTTGGGACATCTATCCCAATCACCACAGCATTAGTCGAACAGGAGGCCCTGTCCCAGACTGGAGTGCAGGCAGCTAGCTGCCGGCCTTCCCGCCTCGGCCCGAACCCTCAGAACAACCTCATGACCTGGATCATCTCATACACGCACCCAGTTCGAACGTTCCGCCTCTTTGGCACCAGCGACTACTCAAAGGAAATACGCAAAAACCCAGCCATACAAAGACACTCTGACGGGTGCCAGGGCTACTGCAACCCCGCGAAATGCAGCCGGGCAGTGCGATGCAGCAACTGCGGGGACAGACAAGAAAACCACACTGGCCCTATAGGAAATATGTGTCCTAATAGAGCCAGATGTGCGAATTGCGCTGGACCCCACCCAGCTTCACACACCACATGCCCAGCTGCACCGAGAAGGGCCCACGGCAAGGTCATCCGACCCACAAAGAAGGAACTGGCTGCAATCCAAAGGGAGGGTCGCCAGGCCTCCACACGCTTCCACCAAGAACTCGAGAGAGGTCTTCAGCAGACTGCCCCTCCCACCGAACCTGAGGATGCAGCCGGCTCCACCCCCGCGCCCACAAACCAAGCCCCAACGATCGCTACTGCACCAGAGCGAACGAAGCGCAGTCGACGGATCTCTGTCCCCAAGAGCACCGCCACCTCCTCATCCTCACAGACAACCGAACTGAGGAGGCTGCCACGAAAAGCGTCTGCTGCACGCCAGAATCTCAACGTCCGCCAGCTGTCTGCCAACAGCCTGCAGCGGCAGCCCCAGGCGAACCCACACACCGACCCCTCCTCCACTGAACCAGAAGACGTGGACATGAACGCTAGCGACGAGACTACTGTATGGTAGGACACCACCCTACCTCAAACAGTCAACATCGACACAGGAAAAGGCCACAGCAAGAAGACCTCAAGGTCTGCTGGGCCAATGTTGGCAGGAGCTCACCCTGCCACATATCGATTCTACAAATTGCCTACCAAGAGAAGATTGACGTCCTATGCATCCAGGAACCCTTCACCTGCTCGCGGTCAAGAACCTCTACACATCCCGGCTTCCAACACTATGCCCCAATAGACCAATGGGATGACCTGCACCGCAACGAAGCAGGCCGCCCAAGGGTCATGACATATATCCGAAAGGGACAGGGTTTAAAAACCCAACTCCGCCACAGCCTGAACTGCAGGGACCTTCTCTGGACTGACGTGAACGGGTACGCCATCCTGAACGCCTACCGGCAACCCCAAACCCCCGAAACCATCGACTACCTTATGCAACTCTCTCCCCCTCCGCAGTGCCTCATCGGGGGAGACTTCAACACCCGCCACCCCACCTTCGAACCAGGGGCCATCTCATCACAACGCGGCTCGGACCTGGCGCACTGGGCAGCTGCCAACGGCCTTGACTACATAGGCACCCCGGGTCAATCAACACACCGGGCTGGACATGTACTAGATCTCACCTTCTCCAACATACCGTTTGCGCGCACCTTGGTGCACGCAGAGCTACACTGTGGCTCTGACCACGAAACGCAAGTCACCATCATACCCGCTCGAGGAAGGCAGAGCCTTGATCTCTTCCACTACCGAGTCCCGGAGGACAACCTAGAAAAATTTGCAGGCCTAGTAGAGCTCGGGATGAATCAGGTCCCGAGCCCACATCTCGCCACCACCACTAACGATATCGACGAGTGCGTCGAGCTTCTTACAGCAGTGCTGAAACGCGCCACCGTCACAGCAGGCCGGCCAGACAAAGGAACGGGACACTCAGCGCCTTGGTGGACAGCTGCCTGTCAAGAAGCCTACAAAACCCATCTCCGAACCCGGGACCCAAACTCCCCACACACTGACGAAACTCGCGCCTTCAAAGCCACAGTAAGACAAGCCAAAAGGGACTACTGGCGACACACCATCGACGGAGTTAAGACGGACAAGGACCTGTACAAAATTGTGGCATGGCACAAACTAGAGCCCGGGAACCAGGACTCGCCCCTCGTAGTAGGCAACCGGACAATCACAGACACGCTAGAAAAGGCGGAGGCCCTCCGGCAGGAGATCCTCAGCCGATTCAGCTCAGATGACGACCTGGAAGGCGGCCTCCAGCAGATCCTGCAAACAAGAACTGATGAGGACAGCCCCCTTCCATGGGACACCACCATATCTATGGAAGAAGTGGAACGCAACACTATCGGGGTAACAAGTACCTCCCCGGGCTCTGACAAGATCACAGTCCGCCTCCTCCACGCCTGCTGGGCACAGGTGAGGGAGTGCATCAGGGGCATCTACGAGAAATGCCTCCGCCTTAGCCATTTCCCACCCAGCTGGAAACTGGCTGAAGTTGCAATGATCCCGAAGGTTGGCAAGAAGGACAGGACATCACCCCGATCCTGGAGGCCAATCGCTCTGCTCTCATGCCTCGGTAAGGGACTGGAACGGATCGTGGCTAGACGCATTGCATGGACAGCCATGACACACAAGATACTCAGCCCGCAGCACGGCGGCGCCCTCCCCAAACGATCAGCTGCAGACCTTACCGCAGCTTTCACCCACGACGTTGAGGCAGCATGGGCCCTCAATCAGCATGTCACAATGGTCACCATGGATGTCCAAGGCGCCTTCGACGCCCTTCTCAAGAACCGCTTGCTCAAACGCATGGCAGAGCAGCGCTGGCCGGACGCTACGCTCCGCTTCATCGACTCCTTCCTCACAGAAAGGCAGATACAGGTACGACTAGGCAAGGAAATCACTCCTCAGCACCAAGTTGCCTGCGGCACCCCCCAAGGCTCCCCTCTGTCCCCTGTTCTATACACGCTCTACCTATCCGAACTGCTCAATGCAGACAAGGCACTCCGCTTCGGATACGCTGACGACGTGTGTATCTACCGCGCCTCCCACTCCCTCGACCAGAACGTCCAGCTGCTTGCAACTGATGTGCAAGAAATCAACCGTTGGGGGCAGGACAACAGGATCGTCTTTGCCCCCGAAAAGCTGGAAATGATACACCTCACGAGACAGCGAGGCAGCCACGCCCCGCCTTGTGTGGTTGACGAACAACTCACCATCCACCCAATACTGCCAGGAAATGGGGATCAGACTGCGCTACGATGGCTAGGAGTATGGTTTGATCGAAAGCTCACCTTCCGAAAACACGTCTCCACCCGCACAGCCAAAGCTAAGCAGGTAGCACACCATATCCGCAGCCTGGCCAAAACCACATGCGGCCCCCCAGCCGCAGCCCTTCGAAAAGCCGTCACCACCTGCGTCCTCCCATCTCTACTCTACGGGACAGAATCCTGGTATGGCGGACGCTCCAAACCAGCAAGACTCTGCCGGGCAGACCGCCCGGCAGACGTTAGCACACGCATGGGATGGCACATTGCCTCAATCGACAAGGCTATAGCGATAGCGGCAAGAGGCGTTCTCCCAGGCTGGCGCACCACCCCAACCGCCACCCTCTTCCGAGACGCTGGCCTCCCCTCAGCCTACGTCGCCCTCGAAGGAGCAAGGCTCCGTTTCGCAGCACACCTCCGAACCGTGGACCAAGAACACCCGCTTGCACGCCGCACCAACATACACATCATCCAACGCGGAAGGGGAGCAGGCAGTGCCCAACGCCCCCGTACAAAGGTCCAAAGAACTGGGCTCATCCTCCCAGCAGTTCCCCGTCCCACACTGACACCTCCCCACTACTCCCCAGGGTGCCGGGAAGACCCGACTCAAGGACAAGACAAGAAAGCCGCTGCAGAAGCCTTCAAGCTTTGGTGGCGCATGCTTCCACCCACGGACGTAACCATCTTCTCAGATGGCTCAGAGCAGCTGCTGAACGGCATAAGGTGTGTATCTTATGGTTTTGCAATATTCCAAGACGGAAAGGAATTACAGGCAGGACAGGGCTCGCTACACCCCAGCTCACATGTCTTCGACGCCGAAGCAATCGGAGCATGGAGAGGCCTCCAGCGCACACTCCGGGACCCCGCCCTACAATCGAGGCGCCTATGGCTGTGCATAGACAGCACCTCAGTCATCTGGTGCCTACGAGGGAACGCCCCCCCCTCATCCCAATGGGCCTTCCTACAATGCCAGGGCGCGATGGAGACACATGAGATCAAGATCAAATGGGCTCCAGGGCACACCGGCATTATAGGCAACGAACGAGCAGACGACCTAGCCAACACAGAGGCGGGCCTAGGATCCACCCCGCTTGGAGAAGCTGGCCTGCCCACAGTCTCAGGAATGAAGTCGATAGCCAAGCGCCTCTCGCGAGACGCCCAACAGGACTGGTGGGCAAAGGCGCAAACCAAACTGTCACACTGGTACCTACAATGGGACCTGACATACACGCCCGACAAACCCCCAGAGGAACTCAACCTGCCACGACCCATCCTGGCGCGCCTCCTAGCAACACGCACTATGCACGGAGACTTTGCCTGGTACCACCGAAAGTTCAACCACACTGACGCCAACCTCACCTGCTCCTGTGGGCAGGACAAGACCCCTCACCACCTCGTACACTGTCGAAAGGCTACACGACTGTTCAGGCTCTGGCCCAACCGACCGTACGCTCCACCGAGCGACCGACAGGAAGGACTAGAGTACCTGCGCAGCCTGGTAACCAATCATCAGGACTTCGAGGACTTCATCCGGCGAACCCACTTTTACGCCACCATCTGCCCCCGGTAGACCACTCACAACACGCCTTGTCTTGGCACCAAAAGACACAGAAACGGGCGGCCGAAGCCGCCCATCTCAGCAATACTCCCGCTAGGAACCCCTAGTGGGGTTTTTCTTTACCCTGTTTTTACACGCTCTCTCCCTCTTTTCTTTACTTCACTTCTTCAAAACCCCCCTATTTAATACACAGAGCAAGCTCTGACTGAACACGGCACAAATGCCACCAAACACAAGTCCATAGACCTGCAATCGGAGGCAGAGACTGGATCAGATTGGGCTGCCTATGGCAGCCAGCACTTGAGCAAGAACTGTTGGAAGAGGTAGTGTGTCACCACTGTAAATCCCCTGCCCAACACGTCCCCATGCCCCCTGGGAGGCTCGAAAGCCAGTAGATAGACCCTAGATACTGTCCTTCGGACGAAAATAAATACCAACCAACCAACCAACCAACCA